AGTCTTCAGTGCAACCCGCAGGCAGAACAGCTTCTGACGTCATCATGGCTATGTTGCAGGTCCAACGTAGAGCACCAGTGAGAAACGGAAAGTTTCTGAAAAAATGAAAGCTACATAAACTAAATGCTCTAAACTAAGGAAATTTATGAGTAGACTATATTAATTTGTTTAGTCTCGGTGGTGATGGAGAAGCCACAGAAACTAAGTAATGCTTTTCCTTTATATACGATTAGCAACAATATCTCAAAGATGTCTCTTCCTGATTTTAGAGTAAATTGGCATTACTTTAGAAATCGACTTTGTAGTTCATTAGCACAAGCACTATGACCAGTAAGTTAAAAAGACCAGTTCAAAGAAGAAAGTGTTATCTTCCTTAACTCCAAATCTAAGCCATTCAAATTTCCTTTATCACTCCTATCATCTCTTTCAATCCTTTGACTAATTGCAGCTGGAAACAAGTAACCTTAACTCAAACAAATCTAAGCCACTATCTCATGCTTGCCATTACGCATCGCTCAACCTGGGGTCTTGTATGTAGCTTTTATATTAACCCAGGTCGCTAAATAAAACCCAGAACTGCAAATGCCTTATATCTTTTCATTTTATTCTGTTGTGATTTAGTTTTTCAAATTACTTACAAGATTTATTACCCCAACAAGAACAGCTCAAAATTAAAGAAAAGTAGTAAGAACTTGTTTAAAAGGAAACTTATAACTTTGAACTGTAATAAATAATTCACAAAATTGTCTTAACAACAAGCTATAGCAGATTCTGCCTAATGAAAACAGCACTAGTCAGCAACGTAATTCACTCCTGTAATAGCCAGTGTGCATATGTGCACACGTGTTGATATAGCATCATTCCCCTTTCATCCAATTCATTTATGTCTTTGAATTTCCTTTTGATGTAAAACTGCAGGGGGAGATGTGAATAACTGAAGGTGGTAACTACAGGATTCACTAAGCACTGAAAAGCAACACCTGGTGATGCTTAAAATACACTTCACATGCCATCTACCAGTCAGCTAGAATAAAGGAGAACACTGCTAAAACAATCAATGATTTGCTGTACTACTACTATATGCATACAATTATACAGGACACAGACTTACAGAAAATAGCAGAAACAGAAGAAATGAGAACATCAATTACATTTTGCTATTTGCAGTGAGTCACCGAAGCACAAATCAAAGCCTATGCTCTTCAAATCCGTTGTCTTTTGGTTTTTTTGTTTGGTTGTGGTTTTTTTTTGTTTTTTTTGTTTTTTTTTTAAACGCAATACACCTTGATTGCTTGGGTAAGCTGTTTTGGTTTCAAGCACTCTTTGGTTTCAAGCACTTGTTAACCTGCATTGTGGTAACTAACAAAAGAACTTCTTGCTAATTAGTCTTCTAAGTGAAATAATTTCAGTATGGCACATTTTTTACATGAAATCACTGTAAATAGCTGTAATGTCAACTTCAAATTTTTAACTACCTTTTTTCTTCAATTTGTATTTACTCATGCAAGCTACACAAAATGAAAAAGCAAAGGTATTTCATGAAGATTTTCCTTTAGAAACTAACATCCAAGCATTGAAAAAAATGAAACATATCTCCATGGTAACACAACCTTGATATGACTGATTTGCATTTTGTGCAACTTGCACACTAACACTTTTAATATTTTATAAACTCTGATCTTATCCATTCTTAGATTTAATGCAATAATTTTCCCACATCACATTAGGGATGATATCATTAATATGCAATTCTGCCACATGATCAGAATTCTACCTGCAGCGCACTTCAGACCGAGTGTCCTCTCAAAGCTGGTCTAGAAAGGCCCATTTCTTTAGAACTAGGAAGACGGCCACTAATTTCAAAAAGTAAAAAATAAGTTGATGATTCCTAACACATTAGTTGTGGATCTATTATTTGGAATCACTCCAGTTCACAGCCAGAGTGCATAACAACTGTGCTGTCATTACTTCGATCTGCTTTCTTCCTTCCCTTGCTACTTCATGCAGAACATAGGCACGTTAAGTTACAAACTTTAATTCGGACAGAGTTAATGCCTTGGTTCTGTGCAGACTGAGATGCAAAACACCAATGCTGCTTTTTTTTTTTTTTTTCTCTCTCCAGTCTACCGTGTGGGCAATTCCAGCTTTGCTCAGAAGAGCATAGCTGAGTAGCACGAAGGAAGGCCAGCTGTTTCCCTTACCCTCAGTGCTCCACACCAGGCTAGGCAGAACCCCGACTGGAGGGAGGCAGACTGCACCTTTCGGGAGAGCAATCAAGCAATCAGCTGGAAAAACCTCCTGTTATGCAAGCAGCGCGCTCAGAGAGTGTAGTACAGGAAGCAAAGTGCCTGCGGCACTACCCCAAAGACAGATTAGAAAACTCAAGAGGACAAAGGGGCTTGCACCTGCAGCAAGGAGCAGATTCTCAGAAACATCACGAGGAGGCTGCTTTTCAAGGGACCTGTGACAGGCTATGATATTCATGCAATTCATAATGTTACAGATCGGACTGCCAGAGGACTGATGAGAAAGGATCCGTCGCAGGGTTGATTTGCTTTCTGACTGCAGCAAACCTGAGTTTCATCTATTTACAGAGCTACCTTGCTCTAGTTTAAAAGTTTAACAAAATCTACTTTATAGGTTTGGAGCCTTTTGTATTTTTGGCATGCTGACCTTAAAGAATATATAGGGAAACTACATCTTAAAGCTCCAGCTAATTTGGAGTCTCATTATCAGCACAGAAAACAGAGTCCTAGTGCAATGTGGCAGCGTAAATAAGTTATAATTATGCTGGTGACTAGATAAATTACTGGAAATTAGCAAGTAAACAGATTAAAGTGAATAACATGTTACAAGATGTCTTTGCTCACTTGTGACAAATGTACATCGGGTTTACATATTAATAAGCTGTCAAGCTTCCTCAATCTATGATGCATAGCAAAAATGAAGTTTCAGAACTATGAGATATGATCTGAAAAATCTTTCCTAAGTATGAAATACTCAGTGCTTCAGGGAGAGGTATCCTCAATTTACAAGTCTGCTAAACAGCTAAATTCATATTGAGGTTCTATTGCATAAAATTCAGGAATCTCTCCACGTATGTCTAAAAAGTAGATTAAAAAACAATTACAAATATGCTTCAAAAGTTGCTATTAATCATAGCTGCCCAATACTCAAGGTCATTGAAACTGAAGTTAATAGGACAAGCGTTAAAAAAAAGCTAACCGGTAGAGTAAGTTTTGCCAAAGATTCATTACTGGTAAATGTGCAACAGCAGGCCTTATAATTTAAAAGAAAAAAAAAAAATTCTCTGCTCTTGACAGCTTTATTAGGCCCCAATAAAGGCCTATTCCTTCTACAGGCAATATTTTTTAAGAAACAATTAAAAAACTAAACTAAAAAAAAAAGAAATAAGCTCTTTAAAGTCCACATCTATAATCAGGAAAACCAAATACTACTTTTTTTTGGACTTCTGACAAAATATCATGAATATTTTCTTACATAATCTCAGTGAAGATACTCATTTCCACAAAAGCCGTTATTTGAGAAACAAAATCAGAGAAACTCTACAACAAAACATTTTGACTTCAAACTTCTGGTTTTGGGTTGCATGCTCATATGAACCTTCTCATCACGCTAGAGACACTGATGACCATCTGATACGTGGCCCATTTAATGGAAAACTACCTATAGTAACTGTGAAACTTCAGATCACACTATCATATAAAAATACACAATTTGGACAAGTATCTTACAGTCATCATATATTCCAATATGCTCAAAACAGATTTTTTTTAATTAGGAGTATATTTTGTAGCCATAAAATTCATCTCATAGATCTTCAAAGGGAACATCCACTGTAACCACCGATTCACTTCCTTTGCCAGAAGTAGTCTCAACATTACCTGACTCTGCATTAGTAGATGCGAGAATATATCACAGAACATCTATCCGAATCAGAAGTATTATGGTCTAAAGTCATTGCAGAGAAATTATTTCCTTTTCTTCATGTACCTATCTACTTATATTTCACTAAAGACACCTTCACAAACTACCTATTCTCCGAACAGCCTCAAAGGCCTCGATATTATCCACTTTTTCTGTTTGGCATAACAGCTACCAGTAATGTCAGATGCATACAAGTGTTCAGCCCCTGTTAAGCTGCCACTTCACCACAGAGTGATTGCTATTGTGTGGCTCCATCGCATATACATTTATTTGAAGCACTTAATCACTGTTTGAAGTGGTCATCAAGATAGCTAGCATAACCTCTCTTACAAACATGTTTGAACAAAGTTACACAATATTAAATACCCTAATTTACACTTTCCAGGTCTGAAGTTTGACAAACCCAAGACCAAACCCAACAGTCAGTATAGAGCCAACAAGGAGTTCCCTGCCACAAAGGATCTGACTGAAGTTAACACAAAGCCTGTAACATTAGCTGCAACTCCCACACCTAGTAACCAAGACAGTATTAACAAGGGAAGTTTGCTCTGTACCACAAGGATATTTTTATATAAATTCTGTAGATCAGGTATGCATATGTAGAAAGATAATGAACACCCTATGATCAATAGTATTTTTTTTAAAAGAGTTTAATACATGCAAGGCAGCAGTTTACAAACCCTCACTGAACTTGCAAGTAGGCTAGAAACTAATCACTATGGAAAAGACGGCAGGATTTAGCATGAGTTCGAAAATACCCTTGTTAAAGATGGAGAATGTTAATTACTGGAAAACAATAGATTTTTGTCCCGTTCCACAGCTTCCACTGAATACCAGGTTACATTTTTAAAGATTTAGCAACAAGAAGAATAGACAAGGCTTAAATATGTTTTCAGAAGGAAATTAAACTTTACTTGGACAAGAAACATACATTATAAACATTTCAGGGCAAAAAACAGGCTGAAGTTTGTTTTCACAAATCTGAATTGCAAGCAGAACAACAGATACAGTGTCAGTTCTAGGCTAATTTCTTAATCTGCTTTTTTACTTACCAACTCTGTACTAGCCCAACTGAAGGCCTGTTAAGCAAGTTATCAGGCAACAAATTAACTTCTCTCATGGTATTAGCTAGTCGCACAGGAAGTTCTTTCCGTAGAAACATGTATGAAGTCTTCTCACATGCATTATCACGACCTGTTAAAGGGCAAGTAAAAGAAGAATTCCATTGCATCAAGCCAAATTTTAGAACTTCCTACTGCTAGGAGAGAAAAAATTGTGGAAATAAAAACACTTGAAAAGAAGTTTGTCAGGTTTCATTTCCCCTGCACTCCCAAGGAGTGTAATATACCTTTACCTTTCCAGAGCTTACACCCCCCTTCATCTGCCAAAGACATTCTTCCCCATTTCACATCTCACAGTTTGTGCCTGCGTCAATCTCATCTCTTCATTCATTCATCCAGACTTCATCCTAACCTACGTTTCACATGTATGTCAAGATAGAGGTATGTTTCTGAGGAGAACAAATTTACTGTCTCCAACTGAGTTTGTTCCCCTTACCCTTTTTTGTTCCTTTTAGATTGCTTTTTATGCCCTCTCCAGCTCACATTTGCAGCATCAGACACCTCCCAGGATTCTCACATCAGACACTTCATTTTTGTTTCTTCCCCTCATTCTTTCAAAGGTACAAGGAAATGGAACCACTGGCTTTGCAAGGAAAAGTTTTGCAATAAGGGAGGCAGCAATGCCAGCAAGACAAAACTTGAGCAATTCCAAGATTCCCAGCAGCCATCTGATATCAAACTCGTGAAGTAATTTGTAGTAACTACAGGAACTCATTTATTATCCTAATCAGGATTCTTTGGGCCTCAGAATTTTCAGATATATTGCTACAGAAGATTCCAACATAATACACCCTTTTTTCTTCCCATTTAGAGGGGAACTGGCAATACTACCATCTCTATTACCCAATGAGCATTTGACTTTAACTGGTCAAAAATAAAGAATTCCTTGCTGCAGTTCTGCCTTCTATGAGGGCATTAAATTGTCTCAAAAATATTAGATACAACAATTACAGCACCATTACAGTAACATTACTGTACATACAAGCTGTATCAAATTGTTTCCTGAAAATGCGACTCCCAAATAAAGGGAGAGAGAGAGGAAAACAGTGAGCTTAAGAGGTGCAAGTAGGCATAATGGAGGGCAAGAATGAAAACATAAAAGGCCAAATCAGAATAGCAACAGCTGGCTGATGTTTCATGTCACAGGCTCTTCAAACCTACCAAGTACTTAAACACATTTGAGCAGCTCATGGAAAAAACAACAATGGCCATCATCCCTTCCAAGACTTGCTACACAGGGAGCTCACCAGCCACCTGGGAAGCAGGTGCACTGCTCTAACCACATTGAAAAGCTACAGCTAAGATTATCTTTCACTTTCATTTTTAAAATACATTTTTCAAAATCTTATACTGGAGAAAAATCTAAAACAGTCCTCAAAAAACACATAAAAGGGATCCAGCAAATTGATAATACTTTGCTATGGACCTGCTTGGAACAGGAGTAGTCCCTTGGAGTCACCCTGCAGCTACCAAAACACTGACACATATTTGTTTCTTCTACTGCAGTTTCTTAGTGCTTGTATTCTTAAGCTAAGCCATTTACTGGAGAAGTCTGTAAAATGTTAACTGCAAGTATTTAAAAGTAAGAGATGCTGAAGATTCTTGCCTGTATAGTTCAGCTGGAAGAACACACCTGACTTGATGCACATTCCTATTTTAAAACTTTCACATGACTGAGAACTCCCCCCCCCACTAATTTCTAAAGAGCCCAGATAAGTTTTAAAAAAAAAATCCATGTTTTACTTGTAATGAACAGTCAGTATTCTACTTTAGTCTAGAAAGACAGCAAATGTCTTTGTGAACGCAACCAATGCGACAGCCTGCAAAATTTATGAGTGAAAGTATAATACAAGAGCTACAAATTATGTTCAGGCAAACTAGGAGCTGTTAGAAGCACTGCTAGAATATAATCACTAAGATTTGCAATTTCAAAGCCTCAAGTACAATGCAACTGGCACAATCAAGGTCCTACTTTTTAAGATAGTCCCATTATAATCAGCTGAACAGTGGAGTTTTCACCTGCTTTGCATAGGTGACACGCACTGATGGGTTACCTCCCAATCAAACCGTAACACAAGCTTGGGAGAATAGGCAGGAAGGATTAGGGCTTTCCTTTTTTTCTTGCCCATTTAAGTATCATCAATCAGTGGATCATTACATTCCATTGGTATCAGCAATTCTATTACCTTTCTTCCAGCAAACATTTGCACCTATTTTACTTATTTGCGTTTTCACCTCTTCAATTACAAATGCACACATCCTGTCAAAATTAGACAAAGGAAATATGACATTACATTGTTGCTTTCTGTGAAGCACAGTAACAATTTCAGAGTTCTGTCCTTCAGAGAAGCACTAAGTTTGACACCAAGGCACACGTGACAGAGGCTATAACGATTTGTTCGTTCACGACCTGTTACAGATGGTAAGCTTATTAAGACGACTGTGGCTGGGCAGCAGGAAGTAAGACTCCCCAGCTAGCTCACCTTAGTATCTACACACTGGGGCTCGTGACACCCTCTGGAAGAAAGCTGATGACTGCTTCCTCCCAAGAGCAACTGAGAGCAAGCTTAACTATTTTTTCCACAAGAAAAAGCAAGACGAGTGAAGGACAGCAAAAGCAGCACGTGAGAAAAAGCAAACAAGAACCCATAGGCTGGAACTGTAGAAGGGCGGGCACGGGGGCCTGTTCCTGAAACATTACAGTCCCTGCATTTGTGCAAGGAAGGCAAGAAAAGCTGCTAGGCTGGAAAACAAGACCAGCAGAAAAGTCCGGCTTCCTGCTCTCCCATAAGCAAGGGCATATTTCTATTTTATTTGTCTCATGCCAGCAGGTCTAAACTGTCCCTATTTAAACTGTCCCTTGCTCTATGCATGGCTATGTTTTAGATACAGAGCCTTTTGGGGTCCCTTTGCATGCTCAGCCCAAGAAAAAGGAAAGGGCGTTCTGTCTGAAGACTAACTCGAAGTCTTCTTTCACCATAACTTCAGTGCATCATTTTGTTTCGTGGTATGCTGCCAAAATATTGGCTGCTTGACTGCATGTAATTTATCTGAGAGCTTCCACAGTTTTTTCAGCTTCTAGCACAGAGGTGGTTATCTGCCTGCTAAACAATATGTGCATGGGAAGAGAGGAATGACTATTCACTAGATTAGCAATAATTAGAAATCCTTCACTTTGGGAACAGAAAGTATACCGTGTCCTAATGGTTGCTCCTTGGCTCCTGTTCCTCACAGCAACTCCTGTATGACTATATTTGTCATCATGAAGGAGAGCCTCTTAAGTATAAAAAATAAAATCCAAGTCTAGAAGTTAGGTATTTTCTTAATATAATCATACACAAGAACACCTATCTAAATAAATTTCCAGAAACAATTTCTGACAAGTTTTAATGCCTTTTGCAGGCTCAAGCTACAATCAGATATCATTTTTTTCATAGGCGGTTTTTATTTTTGCTTTATTAGTCATATTTTTATTAAAATATATGGCATTCTTTCTCAATTTTGTTAGCATACCAGCTAGATCAATATACATAGCAAAAACCAGACTTTCACCTTAAACACCATAGGCTAAGTCCAGTTTAATTCCATCAGCTTCAGTTCAACAGAACTGAAGTTATATTGTGCAGGTTAAGATGAAAGTGAAACTTTCACCTTGCTTATATGGCAGCTCCTGACAAGAAGCCACCCAGTAATACAAATATATAAAATAATTATATGCTTATATTTGAATTCATACAAAGGTAAGAAAGAATATAGCGATTCTATGTCCTAGGGCTGACTGCACTGCACTAGCTATCAAGGGCTGTATTTATCTTTATTTCCAAAAAACAGGAGGTGCTGCGTCAGGGAGTTGCTTAATTATGGTGCACTAAAGAGCAACAGCAGCAGCAGATTTTAAGGTAGAGCAGGTTGTAACGACACAGAAGTACTATGCTAGCATGACACTATAATATACTATGAATATACCTTTTGCTATAAATTACTAATAGAAGGCCTGCTGTTTTTATACCTTAAAATATATACCACAAATACAGCTTTATGCTATCCTGTGAAATTATACAAAATTAACATTCATTTTTAACACTGAAGAGGTAGGAATTTTTGCCTATAAATTGCTGAATCACTGAACCATAGGAAACAAAAATGCATTGGGGAAAGGGCTGGTGAGAAGATGCCATCTGAAGATCACCAGCACAAAGAAAAAGCTACATATACATTTGTAATGTATAAGCTACATATACATTTGTAATTCTACTGTCTTGAGTAGTTCCACACACGAGTGGAACTACTGGTTAAATACTGTATATTATTTTTTCCAGAAACAGGTTCTAAAAAGAAAGAGTTCAAGGCTAGAGAGAAAAAAAACTGTGAAGCTATGGGGCTTCATCTCAGAACAGCCCTTCATCAGTGGCCAGCCACAGATACTGAACTCCAAGAAGGGGAAGCTGGACCTCATTGCTCCGATAATTAACGACAAAATAGAATCTATACTGTGAAAGACAAAAATGCTTCAAATGCAGTTATTGAAGTTTTCACAAGTTCTGCTTTGCTTTTGTGAAGGCAAAACTCTGCCAAAGTCCCACAAAAGAATTAGGTAATATTCTGCTTTGTTATCACCTTTGTGAAGAACGAAGAGCAGATACAAAACAGACATTTTGAACGTACCCCTTCCATTACTAAGTATTCAAGTAATTTCTACAATTAATTGTACTTCATTAAAGCGCCTTCTGGACAAACAGCTGAAAAAGAACATTCTGGTTGATGGCATCAGTCTTATTTCACAGATATACATTTACATACACAAAGCCAAGAAGAAAGGACAGTAAGACATCCCATGATATAAGGTATCCACAATTTTACACGCATCTCAATGTTTATTCCCCAAGGTTCCTAACAGAGCAATATTTGATTCCAACTGAACAATACTTCTGTCTTGTTCCTGTATATGAAGAAAAATGTGCAGGCCAAATTCTTAAGTCAGACACTGAAACAGGCTTTCTTTGATGAAGAGTGTCTTATCACGGCAACGTAAAATACAATCTAGATAGATACTATCTCTTTGCTATAG